GACAATTTGCCCTGAAGGACTATCAATTTCGTTCTGCCATTTTGCGTTGAAAACTATAAACGGCGAATCACTTTTCGAATTGTTGCCACCAAATATTATCGCCCTGTATTATATTTAAAGAAATTAAATAATGAAGAATCCGCATACATGTATGTATGTTTCTCGCATTGTGATGAAAAAACGGTACCTAGAGTCATCAAAATGTGAATAACGTAATCTTCCATAGAATATGGGCATGTGGAAGCCTTAATTTAGAATTTGAAATTTGTTTTATTATCGATTTCCTATTTTGTAACACTTCAACGAATATTTTATTAGAAAACTTAACGACTTCAAAGCGAGCAATCGCAACGCTGTACGAAAAAAAAAAAAAAAAAAACTTTTTATCTCCAGCGTGCGAGACTCTGTATCGGAAATTCTAAAGATATGCTCATTTTAAAATTATTTTCCGATATTGCTGTTGAACTGAATTTTATGGTTTGAATACATAGAACATGATATTTAATAAGTAAAGGTAACACACACACACACACCACACACACAAAAAAAAAAAAAAAAAAAAAAAAAAAACGCCTGTTTGGACGTAATTTAAAATCTGAGACCTTTCATATTGTTTTTCCTTATATTTTTGTTTGTAATGCTCAAGAAGATACTTATTAAAGTTTTAATGTTAAAATACTATTAAGTCTTGGCCTTCATGTAAGTATCCCTTTCATATCAAAATTTCGGGAAAGGAAGTTATTGGCACTTTGTAATTAGATTCTCTATAGTAAGCTGTATTGGTCACTTTAATCCAAACATCTGAAAGCAAACTACAGCAAAAGTGCCGTAGCAGTATTGGTTGAAACTTTTGATTTTCTTTGCTCTTTTGCCTATTCTAATTAAACTTACTACAGAAACGTATAAATTCAGTTAATATTTTAGAGCAATTAACTCTTGGAAGCTAGCAGTCAACACGAAGCTATATGAAGAAAGTTATTCTTGAGATTCTCATAACAATTTAGTGTTTGAAGTTGCACTGAACTGATTAGGACTGCGAGTAACTGCAGAAGAATCTGCATCTAGAAAAGGAGCTGAGTCTGTTTCACTAACTAAAGTTCCGAAGCAAATGAAAGTTTAGTTTAGAATACCATTCGATGGGTCCGAAAATCGAGAAGCTTTCTTGATTGTTTTATTTTGAATGCAGATCTGATCTCTGCCGGAAACAGCCAATATTCAAGTATAACTTACTTTTAATTGCTTAACAGTGAGGAGTGACAAAGAAGTATTTAATTGAATATTACTTTTGTACTATGTAACTAGTTTTTAATAGTTTAATTTCTGTCAAGACGATAAAGTTAAGCAGAGCAAAATGCAGCAGTAAAAAGATGAGATGTAATACAATAATTTGTAACCAATAATAAGATTTTAACTGCAAAATCCGTTCGCGCTTATGGATATTTAACTGCTGTGTTTGAGAAGAGTTAGAAACTCTGAAAGCAGATTTTTAGAAATATTAGATAATTGATAATCTTTCGGAATTTAGCAAATTCTCAGAACTTTAATATTTCTATCATAGTGCTAATTTTAAATTCGGTTAAAGTTACTGTTATTTAAGTGCTAAAAGAAAGATAACTGACATGTGACGACTAAAGGTCAGTGAAGCATTTAATGTTACTCTACGATCATATAATTATGCGACTGAATGGTGCAAGTAAATATAAAATATTTATTCTTGATAATAATTAATGGACGTATAAATAATGGATCTGATTCTGTTATAAAAATCATTCCACAAGCACCTTTACTGGCAATTCACTTTGCAATCAAACGTTAATGTATACTCTGAACTTAAGACATTTTTCCGAATTTCGACAGATAGTGTTGCCAAATTATTCTGCAATTGCAGCTACGTAAATAACGTATTGTAAATCACGTGCTTCAGTGAAAATAAGACCAACAATAAATTGATTTAAAAAAAACAAATATTTTGATCAACCTGTATTATGCAAATGACACGTAACGTTCACGATATATATTCCATTCTGAGTTTGTATGAATTTTCTAACTATATAAGGTATTTCTCCCACCATCTTGGCATGCCTTCGTGGTGTGGGGGTCTGCACACTGGGCGCGTATTCCAGAGGTCCGTGGTTCGATTCCTGGCGAAGACGTTGCATATTTTTCATCTTTCCTGCTTTCAAATAACCTAATGTCTCTACAACTATAATACGTATATTTACGAACACGCGAAAAAAATTACGATTTACTGAAATTTTTACGATAAAATCGTATATTACGATTAAAATATATTACAATTAAATATTACGATTGAATATATCACGATTAAATATATTACAGCTTATTAAGATACAAAATTGCGATATTTTGCTTATAACATGCAAGTTTTTAACCAAATATAAGGGAACTTACAGGAAACATCACAATGTTTGATAGAAATAATAAACAGAACTATGAAATGAAAGTAGTGAATATTTGACAAACCACGAGCATGCAAAGAAAATAATTTTTAATTACGCACGTATGGAAAATTCATTAACTCTTTTCCTTTTATAATTTGAGAGCCAACTAATAAGGGCAACTTGCAGAAATGTTTCAGGTAAAAAAATATGCAAATTAAAAAAGATATCAGTGATATAGTTAGCTGCATTGCACTTGTGTTTTGGAACTGTCTAGATCAGGGATGGGCAAATCCGGCCCTCCGGAAGGTTCTATCCGGCCCCCGGATACAATTTTAATTTGCCGGATTGAGGCAAATTGAAAGAAATATGTATTTATATATTATATATTCAAATCCTTTTCTACTTTGTTTAAATATTATTTTTTTTTTCCTTTTTTTCAAAGGACTGATGATCTTTTTACTTCCTCTATTTTTGTTCAAAAAATCATAAATCAACAGAAACAGTAAGCACAGACAGCTTTCAATCCGTAAAGTGAATTTTTCGGGAATTTCAAGAATGGCTTTTAACTTTTAAAGTGCCTATAACAAATATATGTACTATTACGACCGATGGGGAACCAAATATGACAGGAAAAAAATCTGGATTTCTTTGATTCTTTAATCAAATACATCCCGGGAACAAAGTTGTTTTTTTACATTCTGTCAAGATGCTCTGTGTAAATCTGCATTGAATATGAAACCCGTGCTTAATGCAATCGTAAAGCTTGTAAATACTATTCGATCTCGTGGGCTTACTCACAGGCAATTTCGAGATTTTTTTCAGTCCGCGCAATCTTAATACTCTAGTGTACTGTACTACGCGAAAGTAAGGTGGTTTAGTGCAGTATGTGTTCTTGAGCGAGTTTGACACCTGCAAGACGTCATTATGTCGTTCTTTTATATGAAACAAGTGTTCTGCGGAGTGCAAAATGTGAGAAGATACAGAATGGCTTTCGGACTTTGTATTTTCACAGATCTTCTTTGTCATATGAGCAACCTGATTGTCTAGATTCAAGTGAAAAATCAACTTATTGGCGATATCTCGGCCCATCTCAAAGCTTTTAAACTAACACTTAATCTGTTTGGCGGGCAGCTAGGCAAGAACAACTTGTCGCATTTCCCAAGGCTAAATTCAGTACCCTCAGTAAATGAAGAGAACCTTAAGAAGTGGGAAGATAGCTTGAAACAAACTGCATTTTGAGTTCGATTTAAGTGCCATTCAAACAGAATTGGATATTTTTACCATGCCTTTCTACGTAAATTGTGAAGCAGTGAGGTCAGATTTACAGCTTGGAGTAATTGAGTTGCAATCTAACAATCATCTCAAGCAGTTGTTTCCAAATATGCCAAAGTTAGAGTTTTACAAATCATTATCGAAAGTAAATTTCACCAAATTTAATACCTCATTTACCAAAAATACTCATTTAATACCAAAAAATAAGTTCTTTTTGCTTCATCTTACATATGTGAGCAAGTGCTTTCAACTATGAACCTTAGAAAGAATGATTTAAGATGTAGACTGATAGATGAGCATTTAACCTCGTTCCGTAGAATCGGTACATCTCACTTCGAACCTCAATATAAGGAACTTTTAAAAATGAAATCGTAATTTCATTCATCTCATTAACATATTTAAATTATAATACTTGTCTATCGTTTTTAAAATTTTTGAAAAATTTATCTTGGCCCGCGACCGAAAATGTTTAGCCATCCCTGGTCTAGGTGTACTCTATCTCTCCTGAAAGTTTGTCACTGCTGTATTCATACGCCCTGTATAGCGCCAGACACATATTTGTATTTATTTGCATAATAACATTCTAATTTACACACAGCGGAATCATGTGCGCAATGAATTGAGACTAAAACATATCTTAGAAACCAGGTAGATCCATAAAGTAGCTGTTATAGAATTCATTATGTCCTCGATATCTTTCTGAATTTTACTGATATTACCTGGAATTTTAATATAAGATGGTCAAATTAGTTGACTACAAAATTATTGAAAAGAAAAGCTAATACATTCTGCGCATGGTAAAATAATATTTTCTTAAAATGTTTTACACTTAAAATATTTTTGAGTGTGAATCTTAGCCAATATTCAGCGTTTTAATTTCAAATTTGCGTTAAATATTTCTCCTGAATGTTGTAATATTTTCTGTAAGTTTTGTTAAATTTAGCTAGAAACTACGCATATTGTAAGACAAAAATACGAATAAAATTGAAGTTTTTAAAAGAAACCTTTATATTTTCCTTAATATGTGCGTTACTTTTAGGAAAATACATATAAATGTTGCATGTATAATATTTTGAGAAAGTTGTTTCTATGATATAGAATGATGAAAGTTCTTTACTGAATCATTTTAATATTGGTCTCTTAAATGCACTCGTGACTGAATTTTAACTGGAAAGTGTGAGATCAAGTATGTGATTTGCATGGTCACGGTTGCAGAAATCCAAACTGTCCAATGGCTTTTGGTTTTCATTTGACATTTGCTTGCCATTTTTTTTTAACCAATAGATATCCTGGATGAAGATAATAATAAAAAAAGGCATTCCTTACTTTTCCTTTGATGTTGACATCCATCCCCATATCCAGGAATCGTTCTGCTACAAAAACCCTGTTGTCCTTTACGGAATACATCAAAGGAGTATAACCAGTTTCCTGTAAAAAACAACAAAGTATATTAATATACATCTGATGTTATAAAGTATTATTAATGATGCAGTACCGAATGGCATTTAAGAAGGTGAGGGTAACTAATTTGAATACGGCAAAGCACACGAGAGCTATCTGCCTAAGGGAAACGAAGTTTTCGTAGGGGACCTTCTAATGGAAAATGGCTAGTATTCACATTACACATATTAAGAATAACTCTTCATCCAGCACTTTCCCTTGGAATCAAGCCCTCATCGCACGGCCACTGTTCAGTAGTAGTACTGAGGGATCTTAAGGAAGTAAATATTTGATATTAAAATTTTGAACTGAATTGTCATTTTTGAATTTTTGTTATTGAAATTTTTTAATATGTCTCAATTTAAAGATGCAAACTGAGAATGCAATTTTATTATTAACTCGAAGAAAAATGTCACATTATTTAAATAACTTCATTTATTATTAAATTTATTTAACTTAATTTTCAAAAAACATTTATTAATTAAAAACAAACATTTCATATTTTTCAAAATGGCGTCTAACCTTTATTCTTCGTCTGAAATAGATAGGCGAATAAATACCACATAATTTACTTTCTAAAAAATTTAAACTATTAATTTACAAGATATTATTTAATACAGAATATACATATTAAATTTTGACTGCATTCACTCGTAGCTTCCAAGCCATATTCGGTGCGCTCCGTAAAATTTAATAATAAGGAACCCCAAAGCGCATGCGACATCGAATTTCGTTATGAGCTAAATTGGGATGAATTATAGAAAGGAGAGCTATTTATCTGTTGAAAGTAGAAAATGCCTTTGTGAAGGAATTTAAGGAGAAACTGATTCTTGATAACTTTACACATGGAGAAAACCACGAAAAGTATTATTATAACAGTTAACCGTCTCATCGTAATTTAAAACCGGGTCGAGCTACTAGTGTTTGCCATCTTACTGCTCAACCATTCGCGGGGCATTTGACAATGAGAGCTGATTGGATGATTTTTTATGGATACGAAAGTTTGCCTAAATTTGACTTTAAATCTAAAATCAAATAATATTTCAAAGAATTTAATTCGGAATCAAATTGAAATTTCAGGTTAATAATAACTACTAAAATTTGAAATCAAATTAAAATTTCAGGTTAAAAATAACTACTAACTTCACTCTGAAATCTTCTCTGGGAAAAATCTAATAAACAAAGAAAAAAAACACTGCTGATTATTATTTTGTCAGAATATTTTTCAAAATAAGATTTAAGATTTTTAAGAAACATTTGAGCATATTTGTTACTGTATTTTCACTTAACATCATAACCGCGAACTCGCAGCTAAAATATATAGAGGGTCCGTCAATAAAATGTATGCATAATTTAGCAAAAGAAAATTGCTTATTGTGAGATAATTACGAAATCAGTTATATGTTAATACATTATAGGTTAGGTTAAGTTGAACACAATCTTTCCGCAGCTGAACTTGTACAGTTGCTTAGAGTACTGGCTTAGAGTGTCAAAGTGGTGGCCATTAGCTGGCAGACACATAGCGCAACAGCGAGCGGTTGCTGCAACTGTGTTGGTCAACATGTTTGCAGAAACTGCTCAGCCCATGCCACAGTAAATTCTTGAAGAAAACATGATATATTTCCTGCATTACACAACATTCTTCGAGGTTGAAGCAAAGTAGATTTATGGAAAACAGCAATGACTTTATTTAACACTTTAATTTCACAAGATGAAAGATGAACTCAGAAAAAAGGCAACACACAAACAAGAATAGAAACGTGTTCTAACTTTAACTGTTTATGTTTAAGAATAGAAACGTGTTTTAAATAAATTAATTACATTCTTCGTGCGAGAAAAGCATTCGGATCTCTAGCCTACGTTTCATATAATTTCATACGTTTCATATACATTATTCTTCATCTATTTCAATTCTAAAAGGATTTAACAAAAACATTTAAAGCAGTTACAACCTCTCCCTCAACGGATAGACTTTTTCCGAAGGGAAACGTTCTGTAAAATTTATAAGTTTATGAACTCAGCTTAAGGGAAGGTAAAGAAATCCTTGTCCCCGCAACAGCATCTGGATATTTGGACGACATACACTGTAGAGTCATTAGTTTTTTTTTTTTTTTTTTTTTTTTTTTTTTTTTTTTTTTTTTTTGAGGCCGGAGAGATGAAAAATTAACAACCGCCTTCGCCGGGAATCGAACCACGGACCTCTGGAATACCGGCCCAGCGTGCTACCGTTACACAACGAAGGCACGCTAGGGAAGTGGGAGAAATACTTTATATATTCCCCTTTTTTAAAGAGCGACTAGGGTTTTAGGGGACATAGTCGCCAAATCCTGGGTGCGGAGAAGCATCATCCACAACCCTTTTAGTTCGGGCGCCACTTGTAGAGACGTTAGGATTTTTTTTTGGGGGGGAGAAGCCGAAGAGACGAAAAATTTGCAACCGCCTTCGCCGGGAATCGAAACACGGACCTCTGGAATACCAGCCCAGCGTGCTACCGTTACACCACGAAGGCACGCTAGGGAAGTGGGAGAAATACCTTGTAACAATATATTTTTATATATATAAGCTCGAATATATATAAGCTCGAATAATATATTTTTTCCAGTCCTTGAAGTAGGTAGCGAACCAACAGTATCAAAATTTATTTTAGTGAATATTTCGGATGACCAGAAGATCCTTTGTGGCACATCTTTATTGTCGACGATTTGAGTTTTTCAGTTATAACTAAAAGCTGTCATTTAAAACAAGATTTATCTGTCTTTTTTTAACTAAACGGTCTTTTCCTGTCAGACTACAGTTCTCATTTTTGCATGTACTTTTCTTAACTTCTTGGATAATTTTAGATAGTTCCTTATCAGTATGCTGAACTTGTGCAAATTCTTTCGAGTAAATGTTTACTAATTTCATAACAGCTTCATCTTCCGTATTTAATTCCGGTAATTTAACATCTTCTCCAAAGATTTTATCCTCTACAAGTCTCATCGGCAAATTTATTATACTCTATTCGACAATTATGTAACTTCTAATATATGTAGCTATAGTTTTATAATAAGTGCATTTACTTTGGTCTTTTGAATATACTGATTTTAATCGATTCTGTTGCAACTGTTTGTTTATATAAAAGTGTGAATCTGGTATTTAATTCATAATGGGATCTATTAATCTTGTGCAACTGTAAATTTTATATTTAATTGGTAATGTGCTCTGTTAACATTTTGCAAAGTTTCCAGTTGAAACTGTTTACTAAAATGAAGCTTTAGTAATATTCAAAAAATAGGAAATTTAACTGCTAAGCTAAGCAAATCATAACAAACCGCTGTAATTAACATCCTAGCAATAGAAAATGTATAGTATTATATGTAAAAAAGTCTATGTAAAACTGTACGTATATGTGGTAATGTAACCTTTTGGAGAATTGTTAAAAATGCCATCCTGCATGCTAGCTGTACTCACACAGGTATTAGATAGCATCTTCCAACGTGATAATTACACCGAGAGATTCGTTAAGTCCTAGGGTCGGTGGTCATTTTGGTAGGTAGGTTACGGAGGACTGGAACGCCTGGTGTCTAACAGAAGTAAACAGGCATGTGTTCCACGCCCTCCTCTAACTACAGCAAAAGCTCCCTGGAGCCACACGAGGCTGCACCAGGAGATTATTGAGGTTGTCAAAGGGAAGTACATGGCCTTACAAGGGCATTAGTAGGCTTGTATTACAGATTGAAGAGGCAAGCTGTAGTGTTACAGATGGTAGGTAGTTAAACTAAAAATACAATAAGACGTACACATAAAAAGACATACATACACATAGGCAAACAATACACAAAACACAATGCGTAAAATGCGTAAACAGAGAGCACATAAAACAGGTACATATAAATAGTCACTTAAGGCACAAAAAGACAAATGGAGTAAATGAAGTCACATGAAAGCTGGAGGAGTTCATGAATACTCATGTGTGCAGAAGAGTGCAGTTAGATTGCTAAGGCGTTGATTATTATAACGTCGCCTAAAGGTACATAGATTAAAAGTACACTGATTAAGTATAGGGGGACACGAACTGGTAATGCCTTTCCATAGCTAACTGATTAAAAATAGCACGAGGATGTTATAGCACTGATTAAAATAGCACGAGGATGTTATAGCACTAATTATTGGGCAGTGCCCCAGCAATTATTGCATCGCGAGGCACACAAGCGTTCACTAACACTGCACAAGAAGATGCTTGTTCACATGCTGTTGAAGGGATTACACATATATCATTAAGGAGGCATAACACATCTCGCTAAGGAGATGCCATGTACTTGCGAATTGTTAGTATTGCCACTTTAGATTGGTGGTCATTTTGGTAGTATTTCCGGGGATACAATCACTCAAATCTGGGGCGGAAGTGAGCTCAAGTCAGCTTGTCTTCTGTATGATGCTCAAGGCTCTAGCCAACGACAAGCACATTGGACTCCTTGCCACTATAAATGTCTTGGCTTGTGCTGATCATTGTCAGGCAAGTGAGACTGGTAACAACAGCAGAACTATATTTTATGCCTATACTTATTAGCAGTGTTTATCTCAGTGCTATAGTGCAAAAGATACCTTTCGCTCATTAACGCCTGAAGGGAATTTTTGTTCAACAGCGTGATAATTTATCTCGGGCGTAGGAAAGGAATTTTCAATTAATACTAATTCATTTAAAATTTCCTTAAATCCTTATATTTTATCTTTCAGAAGATAGAATTACTTAATAAGAAAAGCTTTTATATCCTTTAACTGTTATTCATATTTGTCAATTCCGAGAAAATATTGCTTAAATTTCCTAAAAATGCTTTCTTTTATAAATAGGACAAAAATTAAAAGCTTAATAACAGTTTCTAAAGTCAATATTCGCTACACTAGATTAAATATCATAAAATCTCTCTTTAAACTTTTCCTCAAACTAAAGAAAAAGATATGATTTAGCAAAGAGAATTTTAAACACAAAGTACATTATTATTATTATC